CCCCCCCTTCAGCACAGCCTGGAACCCACGGCCCGGCGGGTCCTGGAGCGGCTGCGGAGACGCGCGGAACGACGGGCCTTGGAAGGGTGAAGACCTTCGTCTTCCATCGTCAGCGACGGACCCAAACTCGGCCCTTTTCACCCCAAAAATGAATAAAATAATGCAAAACCCCCCTCACCGGCTCTGGGATCTTTTTTTTTGGGGGTGCACCACAGTTTTGGGGTCGGACCTCTCGATTTTGGGGTTGGAGCCTTTGCGCGTCTCCGGGATCCTTCATTTTTGGGTTTGGATCCTTCGTTTTTCGGGTTGGATCCTTCATTTTTGGGGTTGGATCCTTCATTTTTGGGGTTGGAGCCTTCACCCACCTCCAGGACCCCCCGAGTTTGGGGTTGGACCCTTTGATTTTGGGGTTGGACCCCTCAATTTTGGGGTTGGACCCCTCAATTTTGGGGTTGGAGCCTTCATTTTTGGGGTTGGATCCTTCGTTTTTGATGTTGGAGCCTTCACCCACCTCCAGGATCCTCTGTTTTTGGGGTTAGACCTTTCATTTTTGGGGTTGGATCTCTTGTTTTTAGGGTTGGAGCCTTCGATTTTGGGGCTGGAGCCTTCACTCACCTCCAGGACCCCCCGATTTTGAGGTTAGACCCTGCATTTTTGGGGTTGGACCCTTCGTTTTTGGCGTTGGACCCTTCATTTTGAGGGATGGACCCTTCATTTTTGGGGTTGGACCCTTCGTTTTTGGGGCTGGACCCTTTGTTTTTGGGGCTGGATCCTTCGTTTTTGGGGCTGGACCCTTCATTTTTGGGGTTGGACCCTTCATTTTTGGGGTTGGACCCTTCGTTTTTGGGGTGACACTTCATTTTTGGGGTTGGATCCTTCGTTTTTGGGGTTGGACCTTTCATCCACCTCCAGGACCCCCTGATTTTGGGGTTGGACCCTTCGTTTTTGGGGTTGGAGCCTTCATTTTTGGGTTGGGCCCCCTCCTTTTTATCCCCAAAATCTCCTCCCCCCCTTTAGCACAGCCTGGAACCCACGGCCCGGCGGGTCCTGGAGCGGCTGCGGAGACGCGCGGAACGACGGGCCTTGGAAGGGTGAAGACCTTCGTCTTCCATCATCAGCGACGGACCCAAACTCGGCCCTTTTCACCCCAAAAATGAATAAAATAACGCAAAACCCCCCTCACCGGCTCTGGGCTCTGTTTGGGGGGGGACACACCGGGGGGGCGCCACGGTTTTGGGGTCAGACCTCTCGATTTTGGGGTTGGAGCCTTTGTGCGTCTCCAGGATCCTTCATTTTTGGGGTCAAACCTTCATTTTGGGGGTTGGACCCTTCATTTTTGGGCTGGATCCTTCATTTTGGGGGTTGGAGCCTTCACCCACCTCCAGGTTTCCCTGTTTTTGGGGTTGGACCCTTCGTTTTTGGGGCTGGATCCTTCATTTTTGGGGCTGGAGCCTTCATTTTTGGGGCTGGAGCCTTCATTTTTGGGGCTGGAGCCTTCATTTTTGGGGCTGGAGCCTTCATTTTTGGGGCTGGAGCCTTCATTTTTGGGGCTGGAGCCTTCATTTTTGGGGCTGGAGCCTTCATTTTTGGGGCTGGAGCCTTCATTTTTGGGGCTGGAGCCTTCATTTTTGGGGCTGGAGCCTTCATTTTTGGGGCTGGAGCCTTCATTTTTGGGGCTGGAGCCTTCATTTTTGGGGCTGGAGCCTTCATTTTTGGGGCTGGAGCCTTCATTTTTGGGGCTGGAGCCTTCATTTTTGGGGCTGGAGCCTTCATTTTTGGTGTTGGATCCTTCGTTTTTGGGGTTGGAGCCTTCACCCACCTCCAGGTTTCCCTGATTTGGGGGTTAGAACCCTCAATTTTGGGGTTGAACCCATCAATTTTGGGGTTGGAGCCTTCACCCACCTCCAGGACCCCCCGAGTTTGGGCTTGGACCCTTTGGTTTTGGGGTTGGAGCCATCAATTTTGGGGTTGGACCCCTCGATTTTGGGGTTGGACCCCTCGATTTTGGGTTTGGAGCCTTCACACATCTCCAGGACCCTTCGATTTTGGGGTCAAACCTTCATTTTGGGGGTTGGACTCCTCGATTTTTGGGGTTGGAGCCTTCACCCACCTCCAGGACCCCCCGATTTTGGGGTTGGATCATTCATTTTTGGGGTTGGAGCCTTCACCAACCCCCAGGTTCCCCTGATTTTGGGGTTAGAACCCTCAATTTTGGGGTTGGACCCTTCGGTTTTGGGGTTGGACCCTTCGTGTGTCTCCTGGACCCTTTATTTTTGGGGTCAGAGCCTTCGTTTTTGGGGTTGGACACTTCATTTTTGGGGTTGGATCCTTCGTTTTTGGGGTTGGAGCCTTCATCCACCTCCAGGACCCCCTGATTTTGGGGTTGGACCCTTCGTTTTTGGGGTTGGAGCCTTCATTTTTGGGTTGGGCCCCTCAATTTTGGGGTTGGACCCCTCGATTTTGGGGTTGGAGCCTTCGTGCGGCTCTGGGACCCTTTGGTTTTGGGGTCAAACCTTCATTATTTGGGTTGGAGCCTTCACCCACCTCCAGGCCCCTCCGATTTTGGGGTAAGATCCTGCATTTTTGGGGTTGGACCCTTCGATTTTGGGGTTGGAGCCTTTACCAGCCCCCAGGTTTCCCTGATTTTGGGGTTAGAACCCTCGATTTTGGGGTTGAACCCATCAATTTTGGGGTTGGAGCCTTCACCCACCTCCAGGACCCTTCAATTTTGGGATCGAACCTTCATTTTTGGGGTTGGACCCCTTGGTTTTGGGGTTGAAACTTCATTTTGAGGGATGGACCCTTCATTTTTGGGGTTGGAGCCTTCGTTTTTGAGGTTGGACCCTTCGATTTTGGGGTTGGAGCCTTCACCCACCTCCAGGATCCCCCGATTTTGGGGTTGGACCCTTTGGTTTTGGGGTTGGAGCCTTCGTGTGTCTCCAGGACCCTTCGATTTTGGGGTCAAACCTTCATTTTTGGGGTTGGACCCCTCGGTTTTGGGGTTGAACCTTCATTTTGAGGGATGGAGCCTTCATTTTTGGGGTTAGAGCCTTCACCAACCCCCAGGTTCCCCTGATTTTGGGGTTAGAACCCTCGATTTTGGGGTTGGACACTTTGGTTTTGGAGTGGACCCTTCACGCATCTCTGTGACCCTTCACTTTTGGGGTTGGATCCTTCATTTTTGGGGTTGGATCCTTTGTTTTTGGAATTGGATCCTTCATTTTTGGGGTTGGAGCCTTCATCCACCTCCAGGATCCCCTGATTTTGGGGTTGGACCCTTCATTTTTGGGGCTGGATCCTTCATTTTCAGGTCGGACCCCTCGATTTTGGGGTCGGATCCCTCGATTTTGGGGTTGGACCCTTCGTGCGTCTCTGGGACCCTTCGTTTTTGGGGTCAAATCTTCATTTTTGGGGTTGGAGCCTTCACCCACCTCCAGGACCCCCTGATTTTGGGGTTGGAGCCTTCATTTTTGGGGTTGGAGCCTTCATTTTTGGGGTTGGACCCTTTGGTTTTGAGATTGGAGCCATCAGTTTTGGGGTTGGATGCCTCGATTTTGGGGTTGGAGCCTTCACCCACCTCCAGGATCCCCTGTTTTTGGGGTTAGAACCCTCAATTTTGGGCTTGGACCCTTCCTTTTTGGGGTGGGACCCTTTGACCCCCTTCAGGACCCCCCCACTTTGGGGGGGGGACCCTCGGTGCTCCTCCGGGCCCCCTCATTTTGGGATCACACCCTCTATTTTGGGGGTTGGACCCCCCAATTTTGGGGGGTGTCCGTCGTCCCCCCCCCTATTTTTAGCTTTGGCCCC